AGGTGTTTGCTGCTGCGTCCAGGTCTGGTCCTGAGTCTGCCCCCTGCTCGTGTCGCCGCCTGTCTCAGGAGACTCTCCTGTGGCACCACCGTCTTGGCCACCCCTCCTTGCCTCGTCTTCGGGGCATGGCTTCCCGTGTCCTTGTCTCTGGTCTTCCCCGGTCTCTCCCTCCCCTTCCTTCGGGACCCGGACCTTCCTGTGTCCCCTGTGTCGAGGGGCGGCTCCGGGCTGCCCCTCACTCCTCCCAGTTTCCCCCGACAGAGGCTCCTCTGCAGACGCTTCACATGGACGTGTGGGGCCCGGCCCGCGTCCGTGGGCAGGGTCACGAGCGCTACTTCCTGCTGGTGGTTGACGACTACTCGCGTTACACCACAGTCTTCCCCTTGCGCAGCAAGGGTGATGTCACTGAGGTGTTGATCGACTGGATCCGCGCAGCTCGTCTCCAGCTCAGGAGGAGCTTCGGCTCGGACTTTCCTGTTCTGCGTCTGCACTCTGACCGAGGTGGAGAGTTCTCCTCTGGCCTTCTGCGAGCCTACTGTCGTGCACGAGGCATCCGCCAGACCTTTACGCTTCCGGACTCTCCACAGCAAAATGGGATTGCTGAGCGCCGCATTGGCATGGTCATGGACGTCGCTCGTACGTCCATGATGCATGCGGCTGCCCCCCATTTTCTGTGGCCGTTTGCGGTTCGGTACGCGGCGCATCAGATCAACCTTCACCCCAGGGTCTCCCGGCCGGAGACCTCCCCAGCTCTGCTGTGGACGGGGAAGGTCGGCGATGCGTCTGCGTTCCGTGTCTGGGGATCTCGGGCGTTTGTCCGCGACTTGTCTGCGGACAAGCTGTCCCCTCGTGCTGCTCCCTGTGTCTTCCTCGGCTTCCCCCCTGACGCCCCAGGGTGGCAGTTCTACCACCCCTCCTCTCGTCGTGTTCTGTCCTCCCAGGACGTCACGTTCGACGAGTCAGTCCCCTTCTACCGCCTCCTCCCCTACCGCACTCCTTCCCTCCCCCCGCCACCGCACTTCCTTGTGCCAGGTCCCCCCCCGGTAGACCCCCTTCCCCCTCAGGGTCCTGCCCCTTCAGGTGTGTCCCAGGTAGACGCGGTCGAGCCGGTCGAGGTTGCTGGTGACTCTGGTCCTGCTGCGGGTGCTGAGCCTGGGGGTGCTGACTCTGGGGGTGCTACGCGCGTGGGTGCTGAGCCTGGGGGTGCTGAGCCTGGGGGTGCTGAGTCTGGGGGTGCTGAGCCTGGGGGTACTGCGACTGGGGGTGCTGCGCCTGGGGGTGCGGAGTCTGGGGGTGCTGAGCCTGGGGGTGCTGCGACTGGGGGTGCTGAGCCAGGGGGTGCTGCGTCTGGAGCTGCTGAGCCTGGAGCTGCGGAGCCTGCGGCCACTGGACCTCCCCTTGTGGCGTCTGGTGGTGGGGGACCTGGCGGTTCTCCGGGTGCTTCGCCTCGGCGGGAGCCCCTCTCTCCACAGGAGCTGCGCGAGTGGTTTGCTCGCCGCTGGAGACGTACTGCTGGAGCTGGAGCTCCTTCGGCTGCTGAGGGTACTTGTGCCGCTGGTCCCGGAGCTGCTGGGCCCTCGGGTCCGCCTGGAGCTGGAGCTGCTGCGGGTGTTGGTGCTGAGACTGCTGCTGTCCTTCCTGGCGGTGGCCCTGCTGCGGGTGCTGCTGGTGCTGCTGCTGAGGGTGCTGTCCCTGCTGTGTCTGGAGTCGCCGCGCGGCCTCGGCCGTACTTCGTTCCCCTCCTACAGCAGGTTCTTGGTCTTTCTCCTCCTGCAGCGTGTCCACCGCCTGTTCAGTCACAGTCCCAGTTAGAGCCCGCCTCCCCACTTCCTGCTCCCTCTCCTTACACTGGTCCCACTGGAGGTCTTGCTGAGCGTCGTGAGCCTGCGTCTCGTCCTGCGTCGCCTGTTCGTGCTGCTCGCGCTAGTGGTCGCGGTTCGCGTCAGCGTCCTCCTCCTGTCCCTGGCACGCACCGGATGTCTTTGCGTCTGTCCACTGCTCCTCTGCGTGCCCCTTTGCCTTCTCCTCCTGAGTCCTCCCTTCCTGCACTTACCGACCCAGAGTCCGACTCTCTTCGTGCTGCTAGTCCTACTGTCACACGTCTCCTTGCTACTGTCGTCACTGACCCCTCTTTTGAGTCCACTGCTGCGTCTGCGCTTGTTGCTGAGCTCGTCGACTTTGCTGCTCGCTGTCGTCTAGACTACGCTGCCGGTCTTGTTGCTGAGTCTGCGTCTGTCTGTCCTCCGTCCGTCGGGGGTGAGTGTGCTCTTGGCACGGACGTCCTTGAGGACAGGCAGGAGGAGTTCCAGTGTCTGGCTGCTGCTTCACCTCATCTCGCGTCCGTACTACTTGCCCCTGAGGGAGACCCGGATGCACTAGACATCCCGACTCCGCGCTCTTACGCGGAGGCCGTAGAGGGTCCCTACTCCTCTCAGTGGCAGGCAGCTATGGATGCAGAGATGGCGTCCTGGAAGTCCACAGGCACCTACGTTGACGCGGTTCCCCCTCCTGGGGCGAACATCGTCAGTGGCATGTGGATCTTCAGGGTGAAGCGGCCGCCGGGCTCTCCACCTGTCTTCAAGGCGCGGTACGTCGCTCGTGGCTTCAGTCAGCGGCAGGGAGTTGACTACTTTCAGACCTTCTCTCCCACCCCGAAGATGACCACTCTTCGGGTGCTACTGCACATAGCCGCTCAGCGCGACTACGAGCTCCACTCTCTTGACTTCAGCACTGCTTTCTTGCAGGGTAGCCTGCACGAGGAGATCTGGCTGCGCCGTCCACCTGGCTTCACTGGGACTTTCCCTCCTGGCACCCAGTGGAGCCTCCGACGGCCAGTCTACGGTCTCCGCCAGGCACCGCGTGAGTGGCACGACACGCTGAGGACTACGCTTGCGGCTCTTGGGTTTGCTCCCTCTACTGCTGACCCGTCGTTGTTTCTGCGCACCGACACTTCTTTGCCGCCGTTCTACATCCTCGTGTACGTCGACGACTTGGTCTTTGCCACAGCTGACACTGCTGGACTAGCCTACGTGAAGTCCGAGCTGCAGAAGAGACACACGTGCACAGACCTGGGTGAACTGCGCAGCTACCTTGGCTTGCAGATCACTCGGGACAGAGCACGCCGCACCATTACCCTGACTCAGTCACACATGGTGCAGCAGGTCCTTCAGCGCTTCGGCTTCACGTACTCCTCGCCTCAGGCCACTCCTCTGTCTACTCGCCACTCGCTCTCAGCTCTGCCTTCGGATGAGTCCGTAGAGTCGAGTGGCCCGTACCCAGAGCTTGTTGGTTGCCTCATGTACCTGATGACCTGCACACGACCTGACCTTGCATACCCTCTTAGCATTCTTGCACGCTATGTTGCTCCTGGGAGACACCGACCAGAGCACATGGCTGCAGCGAAGAGGGTGTTGCGCTACTTGTGCAGTACGTCGGGCATGGGGCTAGTGCTTGGAGGGCGGAGTCCAGTGGTCCTCACTGGGCACGCGGACGCTTCTTGGGCTGACGACCAGGCTACGCAGCGGTCGTCGCAGGGTTACACCTTCAGTCTTGGTTCCGGCTCTGTCTCGTGGCGGGCTACACGCTCGTCCTCTGTTCTCGGCTCCAGTTGTGAGGCTGAGATCTACGCCGGGGCCATGGCTGCACAGGAGCTTCGCTGGCTCACCTACCTGCTGACTGGCCTTGGAGAGCCGCCTCGTTCTCCTCCAGTGCTGTACGTAGACAACAAGGCCATGCTGGCCTTGTGTCGAGAGCAGCGCTTGGAGCACAGAACGAAGCACATTGCTCTCCGTTACTTTCTTGCTCGTGAGCTGCAGCAGCGTGGTCAGTTGCGACTTGCGTACGTGGCCTCTGAGGCCAACACTGCTGATGTGTTCACCAAGGCACTTGCGCCTTGTGACCATCAGCGCTTCTGCACTCAGCTGGGTCTTGTACCTGTCTTGCCTCACTTGCTCTCCTCTTGACCTTGCTTGTACTGTCACATATATATACCTGCTCTTGCTTGTCTAGCTCTATGTATATATGTGTGCACTCCTGCATGTGAACTGGCCTTGTGGCCTTGTCGTTGTGCTCGGACTGTGTGGTGACTTTGTGATCCACCCTGAGCTTGCTGTGCTTTGTGTGACTGGTCTTGTGACCCCTTGTTCTCCCCCACTTTGCCTATGGGGGTGTGTCAGAACATATATATAGCTTATGCTGTTGTGTAGGCTATAGTGGGGTATCCCATAGGGGGTACAACCCAATTAGGGTTTCCTATATGTACTCACTTCATTCATAGTTCATCCATTCGCTTTCTCCTTTTCTCAAATCTTGTGCGCTACCTCGCGCGACTCAAGGTGCCCGGGTTCCCAGCAAAAGGCTACGGAACCTATTATACTACGTGAGTGTTGAATTAATCTAACTGCAACCGTGTTTGTGAAACTCAACCGAATTATCTGACGTTGTGTTGTTTGACATGCGCTGCAGCTACGGCTTCGGGCAGCTGACACAGTCGATGGCCGCATGGTTGCACACAACGCAACTGCAGCACATCCTCAGCAGCCCATACATTGGCGTCACGTGCGACGAAAGCACGGACAGGTGTCGGGGAAAGCATATGATTGTTTTCGCGACATTCATCCGTGAAAATCGTCCCGTGACTGAGTTCCTTGCCCTGCTGACCGTGGAGAAGGGCGATGCAGCCTCTCTCCTCTCAGTGCTCTTGTCCCACCTGCAGGCCCTAGGCATTGAAATGGCGGGGATATCCGGCATAAGCACTAACGGAGCGAGTGTGATGATGGGGAAACACAACGGCCTTGTCGCTCGACTTCGCCTCCGCATCCCGCATCTTGTTTCGAGCCACTGCATCGCCCACAGGTCAGTTTTCATCTTCTGTTTACTGCTTCCATACAGTCCCTGCTGCATCCCCTGCTAACCCCTCCTTGAGCCGGTTTTAATGCTGGTGTGCATGCAGGGAGGCCCTCGCAGCAAAGGACGCCGCTGAACAACTCCCCGAGTTCGGCATGGTGGACTCCCTGCTCCGCCAAGTGGCAGAGCATTTGGGGCGTTCTGGCCCGTGGCATCAACGCTTCATTGGCCTGCAGGAGGTGTTCACGAAAACAAACCTGGAGCTACAAGGGATCCACGACGTCCGCTGGCTCTCCCGCAGTGACGCCATTCTGCGCGCGGTAGAGGTCTTCCCCGCGCTGATCGTGATGCTGTATGAGTAGGACATCACCCTCTACGAGCTCGCCACGAGCTACAGGTTTCACTTTTTGCTATACTTCCTTGCAGACGTCCTCGAGCAGCTCAATGAGCTGAACAGGGCATTCCAGCAGCGTGAGGTGAGCTTGGTTACTATCGTTGCTGGATTGTGTGCCTTGTTTCGGTTTGTGAGTCACTGTTTGATGTACTGCTTAAGCAGAATCTGCTTTGCACTGATTTGGCCTTCTCTCCATCCTCTGTTCGCCCTGTTGACCCCTAACAGCTGGACATTGCAAGTGTCCACGGGCAGATCCGCCGGTCGATTTCATTCCTAGAGTCCCGCTACGTCGACTGTGGTGACGACTTTGGAGGCGGGGTGAGCGCGCGCCTCTCCCCGTTCATCAAGAAGCACGGGCCTGAGGGGGGCAATCCCGAGGTGAAGGTGCAGGGAGTCGACTCGGACGGGCGGCCCACGACACACACCTTCGAGCTGCACGAGAAGCCGAGCGAAGACTACCCGACCCTCGGCTCCCACGACGCCTGCGTCGATCTCTGCACCACCTTCGCCGAGACGCTCGTGCAAAACCTCAGCACACGGTTCCAGGACCTGGACTCCCTGGTGGGAGTGCGGCTGTTCATGCCTGACGAGTGGGAGCTGGGGAGAGCAGAGCGCCACAGGCAGTGTCTCGAGTGGCTCGAGTCTCTCGTGAGGCTGTTCAGGGCACAGGACACGGACTACATCATTCCAGGTATTCCCGCTCTCGCACTGTTGCTGTCCGTCTTATTGTGTCATTGCATTTCATCAACGTATGGTGTACGCACTTGCCAGCCTTTCAAAAACCCCCTCTCTCTCTCCCTTCCGCATTATGTGGCAGGGGTCGACAAGCGGCGTGCGATCAAGGAGATGCGGGCCTTCTGCCCCATCCTCGCAGGTGCCCCGAAGAACGAGCGGAGCTTCCACGCAGGCCTAACAGCAATGCTGAAGACAAGCGACTGGGCGACTGGCTACCCCAATCTGGTGCGTCTCTGGGTGGCTGTCGCCGTGCTGCCGCTGAGCACAGTGGAGTGTGAGCGCGGCTTCTCACGCCAAAACGTTATCAAATCGTGGCAGCGGGGGAGCTTGAAGGACGCCCGCCTCGAAGACCTCGTCACCATGTCTCTACTCGAGTACGAGCCCAACTACGATGAGGTGGTGCAGATCTGGCGCAGCTACAAGAAGCGCCGCCCATTCGGCAATGTGGCGGCACCACCCGAAAGAGAGGGAGAGGGCAGGGATAGCACGGGAAAGGAGGCCCTAGAGGAGGAAGAGTGGGCAGAACGACAGGCTAAGGGAAGAGAAGATGATGATGACAAGCAGGCCTCATCAGATGATGATTACTGAACTCACCCAGACCCAGAGTCATGCTGGATGCAATGCATAGCTAGCTAGCAAGCAAGATAGGCTTTGGTTTACAACACAGATAGATAGATTGAAGGTTGTTTGCGACCTTCATAGAGTTTTAAGTTAAAAAATCAGCTTCACTACTATCAGCCTTTTTCTATAGGTGACACTGATGCATCAGACTTTTTTTTTAAGTAACACTTAACTTTCAGGCTTTTTTCCTACGCGACCCTGTCGATCAGGGTCTAGGGCCAGAGGGACCCTGATACCCTTACGTGCCTCAAAGTGAATCTGAGGGCCTGGTACCAATCCTGGTTTGAGGCGGACGGCATGAACATTCTGACACCTGCATGTGAGCGACGACATGTCCTCTCGTCTCCCCTTCGTGTGCTTGTCTGCCTGCTTGTGGACTAATGTGTTTCCCACTCCCTTTCATGTGGTGCAGGGAACATCAAGAAACCACCCCCGACGGTGGTGCTCAAGTGGATTTCACGGGCGTGGAAGGTCGTGCCCGCCGACCTGATTAAGAAAGCCTTCCTCACGTGCGGCATCAGCAATGCCTTTGACGGGAGCGAAGACCATCTGGTGATGGCGCACCGGAGAAGCCAGCTGAGCCACGAGGTAGAGGTAGACGACGACATCCAAGCAGACGGGTTCTGGGGCAACAACGCCATGGAGCCTGAATCGGATGTGGAGGAAGAGCAGGCCTAAGGCTAGACTAGGCAAGATGATGGTGTTTAGGCTAGGACAATAGTCACCATATTGTATGTGAAACTTTTAGCTAGTGTAAAATTACAACTAATGAAGGCTAGCCTTCGTTTAGCTCTAACAATAATGAAAAATATTCTACAAGTACATTTTTTTACTGCAAGGGTGCGCTTATAATAAGTAACGATTTTATAAGGGGTGCGCTTCTAATTGAGGATCGGCCATAAGTGCATTGCTCCATATATAAGCGCATGCGCTTTTAATAGGCCTGCGTTGATATCCGGGGCGGTACGATAGGTCGAGCATGCACTTTCAAGAGGTCGGGTTGTACACAATAATATACACCCCCGGGAAGGTAAAATTCTTCACACGATTGCAACAATGCTGGAGTTGTGTTTTCAGTACGGACAAACAGGCAAAGTAATCAAGAATCTAGTGAAATTTAAATTAGATAATTTACAGCCAAATAAATACAGACTCCCAGCAAGAGTTTCCATTCTCCGAAGCACCTCCTCCATTCTGGCTGGCTGGTGCTCGTCCATTCTGCTGATGCTGCTGCTGGCTGGGCGGAACCACCAGCCTGTCCCTCGTCTCAGCCGTCTCCTGCTGCCACATCACACTCTGAGCTATGGCATCAAGGACGGGCGGAGAGGTGGGGAGTGGGGAGGAGAGCAGAGCGGCCAGGTCGAGGGACTCGGCGGGGCCGCCAGTGCGCTGCGCCACGATGAGCTTGTTGCCGTGCACCACCGCCCTGCATGCTCCACTAGCGTGCTGCCGTACCATGCATGGGAGAGATGGGGGGGGAAGAGAGCATGATGAAGTAGTGAGGAGCTGGTCAACGATGTGGGCAGTGAAAGAGGGGCAGGCGAGCGAGTTGGAGAGGAGGCAATGGAGCTGGCGGGATACTTGTGCTGTGAGGATCACCCAGCATCCACCACGAAATGCTTCACATGCAAGTGCCATTACTTAGAACGGACCACATGCATTGAGCACACTGGCCTCATCAGTGAATTCTCACACAGCAGTCCAAGCAGGCGCAGTGGCCACGCGGTAGCTGTGAGGTGCACAGTGGCTCTTACTGTGAGGGGTGGCAGGGTAGTCCACGTGTTGCTGCTGACGTGGTACAGCTCAGCATCAAATAAAGCCTCCCCACTGGATGCATAGCCACCAGCTACTGCCACGTAGGTCTGGAGGGAGAGGGTGGGAGTGGGGTGACACATGTAAGAGGCATTCCTTTTGTGTGGTGCGGCGTGGGAGAACCAAGCTGTGACGACTTTGACATTCATCTGCGGAGCGGCTGACGTCAGCAGTGCGCGAGCAGCTGCGGGTACCTGACGAGTGGAGGGGTACGTCCACGCGGCGACGCCAAACGCGAATCGGGCGGTGGGCATGGGCGCGAGCGCGCGCCACGAGTCGGTGAGCGCGTTGTATACGTGCGCGTCCGCGTATGCGCGCACCACCTCGCGGCAGAACACGGGGAACGGCGAGCGCCCGCCCAGCACGAGCAGCTCGGGCTCGCTCGGAATGCCTGCTCGCGCGCGCGCCGGACCAGGGGCAAGGGGGATGAATCATGTGCAGGGGAGGGAGGGTGAGGCGTGCGGGTGGAGGGGACGCAGAGGGCGTTTGCCCCAGGCGCACGCGATGATGAGATGTGCGCGCGTGAACGCGGCAGCAGTAAGGGCGGATGCGAGAATAAAACAAGAATCATGCTTGTATGTTAAGAGGGATGGGAAACGAAGGGAACCGGGAACATGACTCGCTAAAGGAGCGGGCGAGACGGTGTGAGGCGGCGGGCGGGCGAGGCACTGACCGACGGCGCCGTACTGCAGGCGGAGAGGGCCCGCCAGCGGCGTCACGCGCACGTCGCTCGCGTCCTCGCTCGTGCGGCACCTGCCGCAGGGCGCGGCGGCGTCCGCATGGGCGCAGGCGCTCATGTCGATTCGGTTCATGTCGTTGCTGCTGCTGCTCCGCTGCCGCGCCAGTCTGGGGGGTTGGGAGAGAAGCGGCGGCAAGAAAAGCGTTTGGAACAGGTAGAGTCACGCTAAAAAAGCGGCGAGAGTGGCACGGCGGCGGCAAGCGGGCGAGACATTGGGCGACGGCCTGGGCGGGTCTAAGGGGAGGACTCTCACCCGCGAGGCGGCTGCGGGCGCGAGAGGTGGCGGCGGGCTTTGCCGGCGAGCCCATGGAAGGCGGCGTCGCGGTACTCATTCTCGAGGTCGACGCGCCACAGCTCCGTCAGTCCCTCCGCGCGGCGGATCTGCAGGGAGAGAGGAGCGCGGGAATAAGGGGCGGTTGGGGTGGATGGAGCGAGCGTGCGTGGGGGGTGCAATGCTGGCGGGGAGCGGGAGCTGCGATGCCCGGGCCAGGGAAAACACGCGCTATCACTCGAAATTCCCGTGCGGGTGCTGCGTCTAAACGTTCACGGCGGACTCTACGTCAGATCAGCATTGACCGACGTACTTTCACAGAGTGGCTAGCTAGCCACGTGTCAGAGTCAGCAAGTCGCGTAGTTCAGCAAGAGACGCGTGTTACGTCGTGTAGTCGGCTCGGTGGGCGCTGGTGGGGTCAGTCGAGATGGTCGCGGGCGGCGAGCTCACCTGGTGCAGCGCGAGGGGGTCCGCCAGGTGGCGCCACGCGGCGCAGACGGCTTGCAGCGAGCGGTAGAGCGGGAAGGACACGGCGGCGAGGCAACGCAGCAAAATGTGGTCCGGCAGCGACGCGGGCGGGGTGCTGCCGCCGGGCATAGCGACGCACGTGGCGTCGTCAGGTGAAACAGAACTAGCTGCTGCTCCCACCGCGAGACACTCCACGTGGGGCGACATGGCTGCGGATTAGAAATTGCTGTTGCAAACGGTTGTGAGGATAGGAGGAACAAATGACGGTGGGTAAGTGAAAGTGGGGTTGAAGTGGTTGCTGCGATGGCTCGAGAAACGGACCACTGGTATCCATGTCTTCTGATGGGATAACGGCCCGAGAAGAGAAGCGGAACGGGTTCTGGTTTGATTATGATGCTGATGTAATGTGATAGGTTTGGCACAGTGAGGTTGATGATGCCCGCTTTCTGCCCCTCACTTCACCCCTTCAGTCCTTCACCAGCTAACATCCGTCCCAACAAGCTGACAGAATTTGCACCCAGAACAGTCTGCCAAAGATCGGCGGTGGCGAATCGCCACCCAGCTGCCACTGCAATGCTTCGATTTCATCCCTCCAGCCCATTTCGCTCGACAATCGACACGATTACGGCAAGTGCTCACGTTGGCGAAGTCCCTGAAGCGATGCCATCCAACCGCAGGAAATCGTCGAGATCGACTGCTGGTGGCGATACGGTAATGGAGACTTCGTTGATGCGATGCGATGGCGTCGGATGTTGAAATTTGGTTCGTCTTTGCACCGATTGGCCCTCGCAAGACATCCGAGAAATGCATCTCCAAGTCAAATCCGTTGTACAACTCACGAGAACCGACGGGATTTGCTGAGGGAATGTGATATTGCAGCCATCTGCCTGTTGCTAGGATCAAACCCAAGATTCTCAAGGCCTTTTACAGTTCCCGCAAACACTTATTAACTCAATCTTCTACAACTATGGTACCTTAAATGCATTTGTTGATGAGAAGATACCGTAAGCCCCCGGATAGAAGCGCAGGCCTCGGATAAGCGCCGGCGCTTATAAATGTCAAACATTATATATGTTTCTGTTGTTTAGGCTACAGTGGGTTAGCCTTTAGGGGGTACATTTCACTAGGGTTTACTACTTGTACTCCAACAACTTTCTAGTTCAACACTTCTTGTTTCTGACATGGTATTAAGAGCTTAGGTTCTAGACCTAAGGGCCCACCGTTCCGCTAGAGGTGCCCTCGTGCGCCCCCTTTTTTTTTAGCGCCCTCGTGCGCCTCTCCCCTAGTGCGCCCTCGTGCGCTCTCCTCTCAAGCTGCCCGTGTGCAGCCCGCTAGCAGCCCGAGCGCGGCCCCGCTGTTTTAGCGGAGCGCGGCCCCGCTGTTTTACCACTGTTGCTAATGCTAGTCCTGCAACTGCTACTGCTACTGCTACTCCTGCTACTGCCATATGGCCACTCCCACTGTTCTCTCCTTTGACGCCGAGGGCCGCCCGATTAAGTTCGATGTATGGCTTGATGACCTTCACCTGTACCTCCAGATCACTGCCAAGGACGATGTTTCCCTCTTTGACCACACGTCCGGCGCTGCTCCCGCACCTCCCACTACTGCTGACAGTACTGCTCGCTCTCAGTGGCAGACCCGTGATGCTCACGCTCGCCTAGCCGTTCGCAGCCACCTGCCGTTAGATGAGCGCGAGCACTTCGGCCAGCATAAGACCGCTAAGGAGCTGTACGACGCAGTAGTCGCACGCTACTCCTCCCCTGCCACTGCTACTATAGGCCGTCTCTCACTGCCCTATCTCTTCCCCGACCTGTCCGCGTTTGCCACTGTAGCTGACCTCATCACCCACCTCCGTACCAGTGACCTCCGCTACCGTGCCGCGCTCCCCCCCGATTTCCTCGCCAAGAACCCCCCCCCGATGTACCTCACACTGTACCACCTTGTCACCCGCCTCCCTGACTCCCTTCGCACTGTCAGGGACCAGTTTCTCGCTCTCTCCCCCACTGACCTCACTGTCGACCTCCTCGAGAAGGAACTCCTAGCAGCCGAGAAGAGCATTGTAGCTGTAGGTGCCTCTCGTGGTGACCCCCGCACCCCCTTCTTTGAGGGGTGCTCCCCCTCCCCCCTCCTCCCCTCCATTGCATCTGCTGCTGCTGTCGGCTACCTCGGAGCTGAGGGGGTCGGGGCCGCGTCTTCTCCTAGTGGGAGGCACAAGGGCAACAGGGGCAAGGGGGGCAGGGGTGGTGGAGGTGGAGGCGGGGGCGGCGGCGGTGGAGGGGGTGGGGGGGGCGGGGGTGGTGGCGGAGGTGGGAGTGGCGCGGGTGGTTTGGGGGTCAGTGGCGGCACAGGGGGTGGTGGCGGCGGCGGCGGTGGTGGGGGTGGTGGGGGCGGTGGGGGCAGTGGTGGCGGCGGTGGAGCGGGTGGCGGGCGCGGTGGGGCGGTGCAGCGTGGGGGGTTCGGCGGTGGCCAGAGGCAGCAGCAGCAGCGTCCCGGCAAGACTCCCTCGCCCCAGCAGCTCCGTGAGTGGTACTCTCAGCGTGGGGGGTCTGGGGGTGGAGGTACCTGCCCGTATGTCATCCGCACAGGTGACCGCACTGGCCAGACTTGTGGGAAGTTTCACACGGCGCAGCGTTGTTTCTTTCGCCTCGACGACGCCTGGCATGAGCAGTTCTCTGACGCCTCTGAGCTGCCCCGCTGGGCTGATCTGCTTAGGAAGGGGATTGATATCTTTGCTCTTGATTATGATGCTATCCTTGCTGCTATGTATGCATTGACTATTAGTGCTGAGGGTGATAGTTACCTGAGTGTACCGCCCGACCCGGGTATTGGGACCTGTGAGGCTGCAGCTCTTGGTGCTAGCGCGACTGCTGCTCTAGGTCCTGGTGAGGCTGCTGCCCTAGGTGCTAGTGCGTCTACGTCTGTTGGTACCGCACCTACTGAGGCACTGCACACCTTCACACTGGACTCAGGTGCTTCCCGTTGTTTCTTCCGCGACCGCACTGCCCTAGAGCAGCTCCCTAGACCGGTTGCTGTCTCCCTGGCCGACCCCTCAGGGGGTCCGGTCCTTGCGACCTCCACCACTGCCCTCCCTTGTCCTGCTGTCCCGTCTGGCACGCTGTCGGGCCTCTACCTCCCCTCGTTCTCTACGAACTTGGTGGCGGGTTCCGCGCTCCAGGACGCGGGTGTTCACCAGTTCACCCCGGCCTACGAGCGTGTGACGCACTGCACGTGCGCCCGGACGGGTCGTCACCTGGCTACCTTCACTCGGCAGCCGGGGTCGGACTTGTACACACTGACCACTGAGTCCCCTCAGGTAGCTGCGTCTGCGTCTGCGTCAGGTCAGCTGTCGGCCCCCTGCTCGTGTCGCTCCCTGTCACACAGGACTGTTCTCTGGCACCACCGCCTTGGTCACCCGTCAGTGCAGCGCCTTCGCGGCATGCACTCCAGGTACCTTGTCTCTGGTCTTCCCAGGGTTCTCCCTCCCCTACCACCCTCGCCTGCTCCTCCCTGTCTTCCCTGTGTCGAGGGGCGGCAGCGCGCCGCTCCTCACTCTTCCTCGTTCCCTCCCACAGCGGCTCCCCTGCAGACTCTCCACCTGGACGTGTGGGGCCCCGCCCGCGTCCGGGGACAGGGCCACGAGCGGTACTTTCTGCTGGTCGTCGACGACTACACGCGTTACACCATGGTCTTCCCCTTGCATACCAAGGGTGAGGTCCCTGATGTCTTGATCCCCTGGATCCGCGCTGCTCGTCTCCAGCTCCGTGAGCGGTTCCAGTCGGACTTTCCTGTCCTACGTCTGCACTCTGACAGAGGTGGCGAGTTTTCCTCTGACCTCTTGGCAGCCTACTGTGCGGAGCACGACATCCGTCAGACGTTCACTCTCCCGGCCTCTCCGCAGCAGAATGGGGTTGCTGAGCGCCGCATTGGTCTTGTCATGGAGGTCGCTCGTACCTCCATGAACCATGCGGCTGCCCCCCATTTCCTGTGGCCGTTTGCAGTGCAGTACGCCGCGCATCAACTCAACCTCTGGCCCCGTGTCTCTGTTCCGGAGACCTCGCCTACCCTGCGTTGGACGGGGGAGGTTGGCGATGCGTCGGTGTTCCGAGTCTGGGGATGTCGAGCCTTTGTCCGCGATACGTCCGCGGACAAGCTCTCGTCCCGTGCCGTTCCCTGCGTCTTCCTTGGCCTTGTCCCTGACGCGCCTGGCTGGCAGTCTTACCACCCCACCTCGCGTCGTGTCTTTGCCTCTCAGGACGTCACCTTTGACGAGTCGGTACCCTTTTACCGTCTCTTCCCCTACCGCACTGCCCGGCTCCCCCCCCCGCCGCTCTTCCTCACCCCAGGTGTCCCGTCGGTAGACCCCCTCCCTCCCCAGGGTGCTGCTCCCTCAGGTGTTTCCCAGGTAGACCCGGTCGAGCCTGTCGAGGTAGCTGTGGACTCTGGTCCTGCGCGAGGTGCTGAGCGTGCTGAGCCTGGTGGTGCTGGGTCTGGGGGTACTGAGACTGGGGGTGCTGAGCCTGGGGGTGCGGGGACTGGGGGTGCTGAGCCTGGGGGTGTGGAGACTGCGGGAGCTGAGCCTAGAGGTGCTGAGCCTGGGGGTGCTGCGACTGGGCGTGCTGAGCCTAGAGGAGCTGAGGCTAGGAGTTCTGAGACTGACCGTGCTGCGCCTGGTGGCGCTCCCTCTTCACAGCAGCTGCGTGAGTGGTACGCTCGGCGCTGCAGCCTCCGGAGTGGAGCTCCTGGCGTTGAGGTACCGCCTGCTGGAGGTGCTACTGGTGCTGCTGGAGGTACTGGAGCTGCTGGAGGTGCTGCTGGCGCTGGTTCGACTGGAGGTTCTGGTGCTGCTGGAGGTGCTGCTGGTGCTGCTGGAGGTACTGGAGCTGCTGGAGGTGCTGCTGGCGCTGGTTCGACTGGAGGTTCTGGTGCTACTGGAGGTGCTGCTGGTGCTGCTGGAGGTACTGGAGCTGCTGGAGGTGCTGCTGGCGCTGGTTCGGCTGGAGGTTCTGGTGCTGTCTCTGCTGCTTCTGGGGGCACTTCACGGCCACGGCCGTACTTTGTTCCGCTCCTTCAGCAGGTTCTTGGTCAGCCGCCTCCTCCTAGTCCTCCTCCCTCCTTAGAGTGTCCTCTGCCTGTCCAGTCGCAGTCACAGCTACCGCCTGCCTCGCCACTTCCTGGTCCTTCTCCCTACACTGGTCCGACAGGCGGTC